ATAGTGTTACGATGATAAATCCAAATAAAACAAATACACTAATATTATTAGCATAACCATAACAAAGGTCGTCTATTTCAAAGATGAGTCACTCTGGTTTGTAAACTGGAGTCTGAGCTCACGTTCTCCTCCCAGGCGGTAGATCTTTGTTTTGGTCTCCTGTAAACGGGACGTAGTGACACATCGCCTCTAACCATCCTCTTCTGTGATGGAGTCGGAGAGAAGCTGCGGCACCGACACACGAGCACCGACGACGGGGGGGAGAGCGATCGAGAGTCGGTCTGTAAACCACGAGAGAAGCCGGGGAGCTCCGTGTCCCGCTGGGTGTTAGCTCACAGTTAGCATCGGTTAGCTAGCATGTCAGCGGCTGCGACGGGCGGCAGCGCCCGGCTGCTCGAGCTAGCATGTGTCGGTGTTAGCTAATCACCAGATATTCTTAACGTACAGTTAATTAGCGGCTAACAGCTAATAGCTTCTGCACCCACACATGTTAGCTCGTGTTCTTGTTGAGCTCTTCGTGTCGTAGCTGCTTGTTGTTTCTTTTTTTTAATTCGCAGTTTGAGGATGATTTCACCACAGAGCATCAGTTCCTGTGTGTTTGTGTTGAAGGTGCAGACTCAGACTTTAATCCCTGATCCTGAAGCTGCAGCTCAGGATCTGAACTGTTTATCTGAGTGGCTCACAGCTGAGGATCGTGTTTCCTGGATCAGTTTACTGACTGAATTAGCTTCTCTCTCTCTTTCCACCGCAGGTTCTTCATCACCTGGGTCATGTGGCTGTGAACATCACAGGGGTTTTGAAAGAGGACATGTGAAAGGATAAGGTTGTGGATCAGTTCCTGTTTTTCTCTTTTAGTTCCTCATTTATTTTTTTTGCTTAGGTCTGCAGAAGTCATGCAAATGCATTTGGTTTTAACCTTAAAACCTTTGCTGCATGTGAAAATAACATTTTAAAGTATTTTCTCAGATGCATTTTGACTCTTATTGATGAACAGATTTAAAGAAATCAGAGAGGTGACGGACTGCTCTCCCTCAAACCACTGGTGCTCATGGAATACGTTCCAAAAAACAGAGGAAAACTTATAATATAATAATAACCAAAAATAATGTCATGAAGAATCCAGGTCCAGGCACTGGAGTGGTTAAAAAAAAGTTAAAAGGATTTCGTGAATCATTAAAATACACCAACGCATCAACTTGGACCGAGCTGGATAAGTTTTTCTGTAATTTTTAAAATCAGAGATAATGTTCGGGCGCACATGTAACAGAATAGTGATTTGGCTCCAAGCAGGGAACATTATCTTCCTTAAATCTGATCAGTAAACTCCGTAAACAACTTGGCAAATCATGTTTGTCCATGAAGGTGAAGAAGCTTTAAGCTGAACAATCACCACCATCATCAACACACTGATTTATTATCTTTATTGTTTTTCCTCTCCCAGGTGCATGAGGCCTTCACGTGTCACCAGGAGAACCCATGGAACCATTCATCATGCCCTTGCACTCCTCCTCCCCTCCTCCACTGGATGATGATGGCGACGGGGAGGCTGGAGCCGAGGACGACGAGTTTGGAGACTTTGGGGGATTCTGCTCCTCTCGAGGCGTCGCTGATTCCACTGAACCACCACCCACCCTCAGAGAACCGTCTCATACCTTGAAGGCTGCCGCCCTTCCACCAAACTACAGCGTTAATCGCCCAGCTGAACAATCCCCGACTGTACCCACTCCAAGCTCAGGTTCTGTCAGGGGCCAGAGAAAGATAGGAAGGAAGGATTGTAAGGCTGAGTCGTCTCTGCACCTCACAAACGGATATGCTGAAGGAGACCACTACGTTGAGACCCATGGTGCGTCTGTCGTGGGTACTTTCTCTCCTAGGGAGGAAACAGGATTTGCTGATTTCACTGTGTTTACAGAGCAGGCGGTTCATCCCTGGTGCTGCGGCCTCTCTCCCTTGAACAGCACCGAGACGTGGGCTGGAGATGCTGAAGGGACGAACATGGCTGAAAAAATATGCGATCCAGGTCATGAGGTTGTTCTGGACTCTGAGCCCAGATCTCATGGTGCATCTGAGTCTAAAGGAAATGTTTGCACTAAGGTCAAGCACTGTGAGAAAAGAGATGCAGCAATTGTGCAACCATCTCAGGACCGCCCCCAGCCTCAGAGCGCGGCAGCAGCTTTTGGATTTCCATCTCAACGGCCTCATTTCGGAGAGGAGGACGGAGGCGCGCATGGAGACAGATGGAGGGAAACAAGGCATTGTTTGAATTATTTACAAACCTCAGAGGTGCAGGCGGATGAAGACTTGGAGAAAGACAGAGAGAGGGGCATTACTACTGTCCCCCAAATAATCAGTGTGTATGAGTCTGCTTCAGAGGATCTGGAATCTGTCGGTGATGACTTTTCATTTGAAGGTGTTTCTGCTGACTTGGAACCAATTGTTTCATCTCTGGCTTCACAAGACGATCAGACCGATTGGGACCAGACTGATGCTGAGGATGAAGAACTGGGAAACAACTGGCATTCTGACTCTATTGGCAACAGCAGCAGCAGAATGGCAGATCTCAGCCAAACTGAGGCACGGCAGACCTTTCATCGCTGCGTCCAATCTCCGACTCAGGAAACTTCTGCTACCTCCAACCAGTCACATTCTGTAATAAATGAATTTGCAGACTTCGATGACCGTGTTTCTGAGCATCACAGGGACCTAGACTGTGTCCAAACTGCTGATGTGAGTGTGCAGAGTCTTGGGAGCCTCCCACCGAGTGACAGCTTTGCTGATTTCTGCTCAGCAACCATACAGGAGGTAGGAGACGGGTCGTGGGCAGAGTTCCAAGATCAGAGGGCTCAAGCGGAGGGAGGTCAGCGACCTGACCGAGTCAGCAGCCTTCAGAGTGACGGGTATGCTGAGGAAGAGCAGGACAGGGTGGAACACTGTGGAGTTTCAAAGAGAAACAGCTTTCAGGTGGGAGACATTTCACTTTTTTTGTTGTTTTCTCCTTATGATAATAAGAAGAAGTGAACAATAGAGATGTACAGAGGAAATGGAATTCCAGAAGGTGTGAATTGTTTAATTTTGCAGGACTTGTAATGAATTACTCTTTCTGATTTCCTTTTGATTGCTTTGTTTGTCTCACAACAAAATATCAGAACTTCTAGACTGATCTCTTTCTCGACCAGGTGTTATCCTGCCGTGTCCAGCAGATCCTCCATGTCAGTTTCCCAGAGGTCGTGGTCCCAACTGTGGAAGGTGAAGAAGAAGAAGAAGAGGAGGAGGAGGAGGAGGTGCTGAGCCTCTGTGCTCAACTTCACATCCGACACCTCCCAGAGAGCGAGGAGGAGAAGACGCCAGAACTCAGTGATGCTCAGAGGTGAGGATAACCTCCTGGATTAGGAAGATGGTGGATATATTTGACATTTTAATTTCAAAAGAACACATTTACTATTTTATATTGGAAGAATATATACCATAGAAAATTAAAGTGGTAATATTTCCCCATTGTAAATGTAAAAGTGTCATTAATGTTGTCTCTGTAGGTTTTGTGCTGCTTTTTTAATTTTCCCGTTATCTCCCAGGGTTCAGCGGGGCCTGTGGTGGCCACACGGAGAGGTCCACAGTGCGGTTGGCCTTCAGTTTCAGTGGGGTGGTTCCCACACTAACAGTACTCTGCTCAGGTGCCTCGGTGTGGACACAAGAAACATTGTGAGTTTTGCAAAACATAACAACTGCTGTTTACTGTTGATCCTACCAGCATCTTCACCTGTAACTGAGTTAAAAGCTGAAACTACTACTTCAGTGATTGGACAATGCATCAGACTCCACTGATTCATTTTAGTTCTCTATCCAGTCATTTCTAAAATATTAAATCTGTATTTTAACGATCTGCTTTAATTGTGTATCCTTGCCTCCTGAAAGGTTTTCATTGGCATGAAGAAGCAGCCAGTAGCTGTACCTGCTTTTGCATCCAGCCTGGTGAGTCCACTGCAGGAAATGTGATAAAGTATTTGATTTATTTTGATGAGAAGATGCACAATAAAGTTCTTACACGGCCAGTTTCAACATCGTCAAACTAAGAAGTTTGAATCCTGCATTGTTTTAAATTTCCATCTCTTCATTGTGATTCTTCAGGGAATGCTTGAGCCAACCAAAGACACTGTACCAGCTGTTTGTACTTCAGGATACCCAGCAGTCAAAGTACGAGAACCTGCAGGGCCACAGAACAAGCAGGGGCCCTCAAGTGACTCAGTGCAGGTAAACCTGTTGATTTGATTTAAATAATTTGATAAGAGTTCAGAGCATCACACATGAACATGTGAACGCAGAGACGATTCTATAAAAGATGCTACCTCCTCTCTCTCTGTAGGAGGCACTCCCATCCAGCCAGCTGGACTGGAGCAGCCGTGGCCTTAGCAGCTCTCAGGACGGTACGTCCCCTCGCAGAGCCCCTCACTTCTGGGGTTGGAAGTAGACTACCAGCCATCACTTACACGGCTTCTTCTAATAAGCCAAAACCTTTGAGAGTTTACTCTGGACTCCTCCTCCTCGCCTCCTCTGGGGCATGTCTGCTTCTTTTAATTTGCACTGTGTTTCCCCTCCACTCGTTCAGCAGCAGTGGGCGACCACAATTGATTTTCAACTCATAAATAATTACAACCAGTGTGAGGAAATCATGTTTTTGTCATGATCTATTTATGCAAACAAGGAAACTGTGAGAGGTCAGATATCCAACTGATCCAAGAACTGGGAACAGAAGTAAAATACAAATGACCCATCAGTCCTAATTATTCCAAAACACTTCCAAGGGGAAACACTGTACTGATTTCCCTTCTCTCCGTCCTTCAATGACTCTAGGTTCTCCTCTTTACCTGCTGCCGCCTTTGTATTCATTTATCTCAGTATTTATTACTCCCAGCTGAGATGGGAAAACCAATTTGAAGTGTTAACACCTGATGTGGGTGAAGACCAGTAGAAGTCCTCATCATAGAAGAGGAGGTTGCATGATGTTGGTTTACTGCTAAATTTTTTCAGCAACTCTTATTAACTTCGATGATGTTGCACATAACAGGCTGCTAGTTAAAAAAAAGAAATCTATATTCGCCACATGACAAAAACTGCTGTGATCTGAGTTTCAGGATCTTTTTTGAAAGTGTGACATTTGGGGAACTTGGTAGAACTGTGTGTGCTGCTGCTGCATGAGGTAGAAGTGTGTGGCATTGCATAGGTTATTAGTCAGAATGCAGACAGGTATGTAAGCTGATGATGAGCAGCCTATAAACCAGCTCAATTGACTTTAGAGGGAATTTCCTTGAAGACCCTGAGATTAGTCGAGTCCACTGGTGTAGAACAACACAAACATTCACCTTCAAGGCACCTGCCTGAGTGAAGAAAGCCTGTTTCCATGACAACGTCATTTCCGTTCAGTTTTGAACGTCACTCTTTTGACTTTTGACAAATGTTTAGTGATTAAAATCGTGTTGCAGTGAGAAAGTTTTCACAGCAGGGGGCAGTAAATTGTCAGTGCAGAAAAAAGGTCAAGGAACAAATTTAAAGAATCCACCACAAATACAAAGAACATGCTCTTATTTATTTATTACCATATATATTTCTTATTTGTTTGTCGTCTGATATATTTATTTATCATTGTCACTCATGTGTTTGGTTGAATGAAATGTTTGAGTTATTCTGTTTCTGTTTGGTTCAACATGTGCAGGTGACTACAGTCAGCATAGGAGATTTATTTTAGACATTATTTCACTATTCAAACAAGATGAAAATGGCGAAACAGTAAAAGGAAGTTGATTATTTTGTGTCAGTCAATGCTGCTTTCTGTTTTTTCTTTACTCGGTGCACTGAAGCATGAACTGTATCATTACGCTCAGTAGAGTGTTTGATTCCAAAGAACTTAATAATTGACTCCTGAAATCCCCTTTTGAGTCATTCATTTCCAATCAAATGTGTTTCTACAACGGTTCTGTAACAGCAGTTACAGTACGTCATCGTGAGTTGTGCCTTTATGCCAGCAATTCTTTTCTAAAAACTAATGATTTTTTCTCCAAACGGTGCAAATCTCTTCGGACTGATAAATTGTTTTGTTTCTTTAAATTCAGATTTACTGCTCAAATCCAGATTTAATGCACTTTGTGGGAAATCCTTGTAAATACTGAAATAAATCAGTCGATCCTTTCTCTTTGTTTTGCTTCTCTTCCCTCTGCTTCTCTCTCTTTGCCATAAGTGGCGTCGGTTCTTCTCTCTGTGGTTGCAGAGTTTGGGTATTGAATCACCTCCATAGCTCACTGGCATGTGTCAGGTTTTTATTTTAACCAGACAAAGAATATAAAACTAAAGATTTCTAATATATTGCTAAGCTCAACCTTTTAATGGTGGTGTCACGTTTAGCGGTCTGTCTGGTATGTACTTCTTCTTCATTCTTATTTTATTCCTTACCCCGTAACAACCCTCACCCTCACCCGCACAGGCTGTTGTGCTCTCAACCTGGATTATTTTGGTCCAGAGGAGGAGAACAGGTCCAGCAGCAGCAACAGTCCTCCACCAGGTCAGAGTGTGAAACTGAAGAAATGTAGATTTTTGACACACCTGGTTCACCCATAGACGTGAATAGAGGTGAACGGTACAGCTCCGAAATATCCTGGATTCTGGATCCTGGAGCATCAAATAACCAATTTAATCCAAATTTATCAGAAACATGAACTTTTAGAGAAATTTATTTGACATCTTTGACTTTTTAGTTTAGTCCATGTCCCCTCTGCTAACATGGATGAGGCTTACGCTGCAGCCAGCCACCAGGTGGCGATCAAGTTACTTTGGCTTAACTTTGGGGCTGTCTTGTCGTCCATCTTTACGTCCATGGGTTCAACACGATGATACAAATGTTAAGCAATTGCTCATTTCAGCTCATGTTATATGTGAGTCCTTTTGATACTCGGTGGTTTGATCCTCGTGTTTTGTGTTTGGAACACACACGTGAAGGAGTCGACCGTGAACTGTACGAGTTGACCATCAGCAAACTGGAAACCAGCACGGACAGCTGCCACCTAGTGGACACTTTGAATCGACTGATGTCTGATGCAGAGAAGACGAGCACCTCAGTCAGGTCAGCTCAGGTCCTCCAGACATTTAGTTTTTGCATATTTAGTTTTTATGTGATTCTTTAAATACCCATGCTGTGTGTGTGTGTGTGTGTGTGTGTTTTCTCCATAAGGAAACCTCCGGAGGATGAAGAGTTGAGTGCGGAGGCTGGTCGGGTGATCGCTGGACTTCCAAACTTGTCCTTCATGAAGGCCAAGGTCCTCATGTTCCCAAGCATCCTCGTACCGACACTGTGATGTCTTCTCTTTTCTACACACACAGAATGTAAATACTGATGAGGATGTTCTCCACCTGCTCACCCTCATCGGTCTCAAACGCAAAAAAGTTAAACTCTTAGTCAGAAGCGAGGCGCATTAATAAATAACAATCAATCTTGTTTGTTATTCATTTACTATTACTCTTCTTCAAGTGATGTGGTTTATCTTGGTTTAAACACTTATTTATTACATCAGACCCACTCAAATTATGTTTGTGCAATCCATAATGGACAAATGATGACATATTTAGCTGATAATAATGTGTTGAATGTAAAAGAATGTTTCCCTTTATTGTGGTTTTCAAAAAGTTTCTTCTCTTTTTTTGTTATGATTAAAGTTTTAAGGAGTGTAATTGAGTTTTTAAATCTACTTTATCTGTCTTTCTATCTCTCTTTGCATTTATATAATTCCACAACACGGAGCAACCTCAACAAAAGAAAATAAAGCAAGAGAAACTCCTACATTTGTCGTTACAGTCATTTCCCAGTTCATTCAGCTTCAGTCTTATAATTCTTAATATCATGATTCTACTTGATATCTTTTTTAATTTATATCTTCTATGCCTTTTAACTGTGTTTTCATTTCCTACAAATCTTTTTCCTAGCATCTTGTTTATCGTCCTCGCTCGTGTTGCCTTCCTCTGTCGTGATTTTCAAACACTTTGACTCGTGTTATTAAAAATAAATCTGACGACAGATTATTAGAGGAACAGAAACTACAAGAACAAAGAATGACGCTGAACAACCGCAGACACGAGAAAACGACTTTAGAGGTAGAGTTAGAAATGAATTGGATTAAATGTAAACAGCAGATGATTTAGTTTTAAAAGTCACTTCATTGAGGTTTGAACCAGATTTACCTCAGAGGAAGCTCCTGCCTCCGTCACCGGATGAGCCCCGGCCCCTTCCTCCTCTCGGCCGGGTTGGTGTGTCTTCCTTCCGGCTCGCCGAAGAAAGTTGAGGGAGGTTCAGCGGCTTCTGGGCTTTGACACAATGGACAGCCAGGGAAGGAAAGTGGTGGTCTGCGACAACGGGACCGGGGTAAGTTCGCCGCCGCGGTCGGACGCGCCGTCGCCGGGCGTGTTCGTGCGAACGGCGCCGTTTGTGTCGAGCGATTTGCTGGAACAGGAAGTGGCGGTGTCAGCGTCCCCAGCTAGCTAGCGTCAACTGGGTGGGTAGCTAGCCTGTCTGCTAGCATGCTAATTCTCATTCATCCGGACACTTCGCGGAAATAGCACCGAGAGTCGGTGCTTTTGTCCGGATGAAGGACGAATCCACATCCCCCTGGGTGTAGCCCTCTTAGCTCGCATGCCCCGTTGTCAAGCGATACTTAAATCAGCCACCATCGGGCATTAAGCTACGGCAGCCAGCTAGCTAGCTGGTTAGCCCAGCCTGCTAGCACTGAGCAGCTGGGTCTGGTTTATTCTGTCTCATGTCTGTGATTTATTCAGCTCTCGACGCGGAGTTTGTGGATTCACTGTTCACTCTCTGTATTTTGGTCAACTAGCATTAGCATCGGGTGTATTTCTGACGCGATAGCCGGCGTCAGGTGGGTGCAGCGTTAGCTAGGCCGTGTCAGGTGAATTGAGGAACCACCTTTTAAAATTGCGTTTTCCTGAACAGCAACAGAAATGTCCCATAACCGCCTTCTAGTAAAATATGCGGACCTGAAAGACCACAGAAAGTACATTGAGCCTGGTTAAATGCTGAAGTACACTTTTATCTATCAAAGTATGCGGACGTGAAAGACCACAGGAAGTACATTAAGCCTGGTTAAGCCTCTTTTATTCATTATTTATATATATATATATCAAAAATATTTAAAGGAACCCATATTCAAATCAGAACATGTGCAGAAGTCAATGGCTTCAACGTGTATAATTAAAAAGCAATGACATTCTATAAAAACAGACTTAAAAATATTCTTAAACACTCACACAGAAGGTCACGATTTAAAGTTTAGTCGTGCAGCTCATTCCTTGCATGTGGTGCATGGACGCCAACACAGGAAACATGGATATAAATCAATAAGTACAAATCAATTATACTCAGTGTTACATTTCCTAATATTCTAATTATAGGACGTCTACATGTTGTGAAGTATATATTTTTTTCCCCCCAATTTGCAATTGGTCTTTTTAATTAATCAAGGGAGTTGAATAGTGCTACAACCACAGGGCCGCAATACTTACGTTTTGCATACATGCATTTATCCATTCACTTTGTTTGTTAGGTTCTTTTTTAAACATTTTTAATAATTTCATAATGCCATAGTTATTGGTATTGACTGATGTTTAGCTATGTCACTCAGCCTTAGCAGCCACCAGTGCAAAGTTGCTGCATCTGCACGATTGAGAACTTAGCTAGTAGCTATTTTAATTCAAAAATATCTCAGGGGTTTTCCAGCCTCTGTGGTTTGTTTGCAAACTTGCAAAGCAGGCACTTTTACTTCTTCCAGCATTTATAGTACCATACTCAATTTTTTTTTGTCTGGTTTTATGTTTTCACATTATTTGTTGCTCACAGGTAACAGTGCATCTGTTGGTGTGGAAGGATTTCCTGTTTAAACCTTGTCAGCAGTTAAAGAGGATGTTGGCTCATCATGTTGCTGACTAAAAAGCCTTTTTTTTCAGATGTGAATCTCAAGAGCATGGTGTGGGGGGAAAAAAAAAAAAAAAAATTTGAACCTGTGTCAGGGTTGAAGTGAGAAGCTTAGAGGAAGTGATGGTCTCCACAACAGCCACATGTCTCACCGATACGTTCTTGTAGACCTGTTGCATTTCTGTTCACACCAGAGCTCACTGTTAAATCTGTATTTGCAAAAGAAAACTGCATTGTATGGTTTACTAAAAATGTTCGCAGTGCAGGGTTAAGATGATTTCTGTGGTGTGACTCACCAGTTACTGCTTCAAACTTACCCAGATATCTGTGTGGGTGCAGGGCTTTACTGACTCTGACATTTTACTAAATTGTTAAAGACTGTTCAGTGGGTCATTGGTTGAATTTACCTAATCACAATGTGAATATCAACCCACGATCTTGAGTTTCTGTTTGAGGTCATGACACAAACAGTAAAAATGCAGAATCCCAGCGTGAAAAGGAAGAAGAAGAAACCACACAGTGTATTTTGTCAGGGATTTACAATGCAGCCCTTCTTGTTCTTCACTGAGTACATGGTTCTTTAAACTTGAGTGTGGCTCAATGCAATGAATAGTCAATGATCTACTTCACCTTTATGTCCTCACAGGTGATAATTATCCCGGTAGTGAAATATTTGTTTAACAATGTTTAGTATTGAATTTAAAATGCAGGTTAGATCTCCTGAATTCTTTTCTTATATCTTTATTTATTTACAATTTCAGATATAATGTATTTGTAATCGATTACATTATTACCTCAGACTAAATGCCAGTCCGGTCCACTGTAGTGATGGTGATGGTGTCTTTCTGTATCACACAGTTCATCAGGATTTAAATGTATCTCCTAATAACTTTCTCATTACTTTTCTTTTCCTTGTAGTTTGTCAAGTGCGGCTATGCAGGCTCCAACTTCCCAGAGCACATCTTCCCTGCACTTGTTGGAAGACCCATCATTCGCTCAACGGCCAAAGTGGGAAACATTGAGATCAAGGTACGGGCTAATCCACCTCCTGTTCCTGAAAGTCTTGATGTCAATGGAAATCATTTGTCAGGAAACCAGCGATAAGACTAAAGTAAAGCCTGCAAATAAAATATGAAAGGAGCTTTGAATATAACCACAATGTCAAAGCCACAGGCTTTTAAATTTCACTGTAAAATATCTCCTGTAAGTTTCTGATGAGTTCTAAAGAGTAAAGGCTCATTCATGCTTAACGTCTGTTCACGTTAAATAAACATAACTTAGTGATACAGAGGAAATGTGCCACTGGAAATTGTCGGGGGCAGTGCAGCCAATAGTTCAAGCGAGACACGAGGAAGACATTTCATCAATGGTGAAACTCTGAGGAAAGGCTTTGTGAGTTGGTCAGAAACTACAAACATCTATATTATACTTTCCTCGGGAACAGGGACAAACTATTACTAATGCAGCAGCGCATGTCGCTTTCTTACCATAATCACAACTTCCTGCACTGTCGCCATTTTTGTTCTTGTCGGAAACTCGCTTCTGCGCTGCCCTCTATTGGATATGCAGCTTAACGACTGTACCAAATCAAAGTAGGTATGTTGGCAGTGAAGGTTGCACTCTTCCACACACTCATCTCATCGTTCAGGGGAACATAAATGAGCCCTGAGTCTGAAGTCTGTGAGGTAACAATCAATCCTTCAACAACAAAACCATCTGTCCGGTTATAGAAGTCTTGGGTATAAAGAAGATATTTTAAATTGTCTCCTATGTGTTCCGCTAAATACGAAATCTTTAAATCTGTAATTTGGGTAAAGCTCAGTTAATTAGGAAGCAGAGGTCTAAATGTTTCCCATTTCTTAGCATGAAGCCTTTCTCTACCTCTGTCCTGTTCTTTCCAAGTCTTTTGTTTATTCATCTTTATTTCATATCTACCTTCCTTTTCCTCCATGTTTTGTTCCCCCACGATGAAGTAGAATTCCCAGAAGATGGTAAGTTAAGGTTGGTGTGTGCCTCCTGTTCTTGCCTGCTCCGGAGAGTTGTGTCATGTTTTGATCTCAACTGAAAAATGTTGCGCTCTTACTTCATTTTAAATATTTGTTTTGCGTCTTTGTCTTTTCTTCATTAGTTTTCTTTCATTTTTCTTACTCACACAATGACTCCATTCTTAAACATCCTGGTTAGTTTGCTGATTTTAATCATTGGGTTTGAGTGATGTCGGTTGAATGAGCAGCACAGAGTCAGATAGTTAAACAGCACCTTTTGTTAATGCACTCCTTTCTCCGAGCGAAGTGTTGCAGAAATGGCTGCTATGAATCATAGGCCAGCTGTTATCGATGGAGTGCTAAAAGAGATTTTGGATCAGTTCCATTTTCAGAGTGTCTGATCTGCTGGTGGATCCTGACCGCCAACAATCCTGCTGCGATTTAAGGGCTCCAACAATCACAACAGTTTTCAACCAAAAAAGAACATAAAATATCAGCAGCAGCTCCAAAGCTTGGTGCCAAATGTTAAAGGTTCTGTATTTGTTCTCTTCATGAATCAATGTGCATATTTAATTTTAAGTCATTAAGCCGCTCCACTGATCTGCAAATGTTCTACCTTCGACAAGTGCGGAGGAAGGGTTCGCATACAAGGATGCATGGCAGGCAGCTGAAGTTTGGAGACAGAGGCACATCTGTTTTAATTTTTTTACAGTTTTTTTTTTTATTGAGACCACATGGAGACGATGCCTGTGACTGGTACTTTGTTAATGCCCAAGCACACAGGATGAACCCATAAAATGGCTGCCTTCAGTGGGCTTTTGATGTCTCCAAGTGGAACGTGAGATGCTTGACTG